TCCTAATTGAAGCATGGGTCAATTTGAAAGCGTGCTACAACGAGATAGCGTTTAACTGACTCCTAAGAGGTATGTTTGAATATCTGTGTTGGCATCATATGCTTGCATTATCTTTCATAAAAAAATAATTTGCAAATATTTCTCTCTAGCTAGTGACTCGTTCACAACAGAGTTGTGACGTCATTTCATTCAAAGTTTTCTCAAACTTCAAGACTTACGTATGTGTTGCATTAGAATTATCATTCCCATAATAAACATTCTTCTGCATACAAAACAACTGATCAACATCAAGTAAGTTTACACAATGAACAATCGGGTGAAGAGCTCAATCTTGTCAGGAAAGAGAGGCTTGAATACCCTGTTGAAGCAAGAGTCAGCTGCCACAAGAGAAATGACTTATCCAGGGGCATGTTAACCTTTTGTCAAGAGACAGCATCTTGGTGCTTCACAGTCTGAGTACCCTTCAAGGATGAAGTTAGCGGATTCTGCCAATCTGGGGAAATCAAGTCGAGAGTCAATCTCTCCAAGCTCGGCCAAATCTGGGGCATTCCCTCAAAGCTGCCAATCACGTCGATAATTCTCTTCAAGTTGCCATCAATCAGAAGCTATCACATTGATAAATCTATTCAGAATTCATTCAACCTGGGGCAGTTACGTCGAGATTAGACAAATCTCTCCATGAAAGTTGTAATCAAAGTAGTTTATTTTGTGACTCAAGACATTGGGGCAGGCCACTTCATATTATATTGTGGCACGAATCTTCTGGTCTTCTATTTAACAAAGATCTTCTCAGAGATCCTCCAGACAGTGGCATTCCTCATCCGTACTTGCAAAGTCGCGCAAGCCAATTATGTTGCACGAGACCACCACGATCATCTAAAAGCATCATAACAATCACCCTGGCCTAGCCAGCGCACGAAGCCTCCTTCATTTGCTACAGACAACTTCAAACCTGATTCCCCAGGTGAATTCAGAAAGTTCGGAGTTTCCATTTGACTTGGCACGCGCAAGTGCATCCCCAGTGGAGTTAATCAAGAACATCCCCAGTGGAGCTAAACTGGGGCATTCACAGAGCCAAACCGGGGAATTCCCAGAGCTAAGCCGGGGCATTCATAGGTGTCCATGCCCATCTCTTATCCCCAAGCAATTCAAGAGATAATTCCCCAGTGTGCGTAAACTTGGGGCATGTATTCGGAGAGATTCACATGCTGTTCAATATCCATTCTTCGGCATATTCAGTTCTATCATCCTCTCGACGGTTCAGGATGTACGGAAGTCTGGCCATATTATCTCTTCCCCAATGGTACGATTCAGAATTCAGCAGCGTACCCGAAGACTCGCTTCGTCCACGATTCAATCTTCAACAGAGTCATCTACAATCTTCGGTATCATGGGCTCCCCGGTTCAATTCTTATCAATATCCCCAACGACCTTCGGTACTATAGGCTTCCAGCGCCGATATGTATTGACATCCCCAGTAATGAGCAGCAGTTCCTAATGGGCCTTCTCTTATCCCCATGAAGTTTATTTCTTCGCATTGCATATAGTTATCATTACATAACATTGCATCTTCAAAAGCGCGTAGCTGATCCATCAGAGTGGGTCTTTGCGGCAAAATAAATTCAAACATCCATACAAAGCATAAGCCAGATCAGGTACCTTGCACGAAAGACCCGAATCATTCATGGACAACAATACGTCCCTACAAAAGTATATCATGCCCAAAATCCCTAGTTGATGACTTTTATCTTTTCAGGTGCTCAGCAAAATCAATATACCAAGTCCAATTCCCAAACACTCGCCCGTGTTTAACCTTTGATGCTCGCCTGTATCTTCTTTCAATACTCGTCTGTATTAATTCAAACACTCGTCCGTGTTTAACCTTTTGATACTCGTCTGTATCTTCTTTCAATACTCATCCGTATTGATTCAAACACTCGTCCGTGTTTAATATTTTGATACTCTCATGTATCTTCATTCAATACTCGTCCGTATTGATTCAAAACACTCGTCCGTGTTTAACCTTTTGATACTCGTCCGTATCTTCTTTCAATACTCGTCTGTATTGATTCAAACACTCGTCCGTGTTTAACCTTTGATACTCCTCTATATCTTCTTTCAATACTCGTCTGTATTGATTCAAACACTTGTCCGTGTTTAACCTTTTGATACTCGCCTATATCTTCTTTCAATACTCGTCCGTATTGATTCAAACACTCGTCCGTGTTTAACCTTTTGATATTCGCCTGTATCTTCTTTCAATACTCGTCCGTATTGATTCAAACACTCATCTGTGTTTAACCTTTGATACTCATTTGTATCTTCTTTCAATACTCGTCTGTATTGATTCAAACACTCGTCCGTGTTTAAACCTTTTGATACTCACCTGTATCTTCTTTCAATACTCATCTGTATTGATTTAAACACCCATCCGTGTTTAAAACCTTTGATACTCGTCCGTATCTTCTTTAAATACTCATCCGTATTGATTCAAACACTCGTTCGTGTTTAACCTTTTAATACTCGTCCGTATCTTCTTTCAATACTCGTTTGTATTGATTCAAACACTCGTCCGTGTTTAAATCTTTTGATACTCGTCCGTATCTTATTTCAATACTCGTCTATATTGATTTAAATACTCGTTCGTGTTTAACCTTTTGATACTCATCTGTATCTTCTTTCAATACTCGTCCGTATTGATTCAAACACTCGTCCGTGTTTAACTTTTTGATACCCGTCCGTATGTTCTTTCAATACTCGTCCGTATTGCTTCAAACACTTGTCCGTGTTTAAACCTTTTTTATACTCGTCCGTATCTTCTTTCAATACTCGTCCATATTTATTGAAACACTCGTCCGTGTTTAACCTTTGATACTCTCCTGTATCTTCTTTCAATACTCGTCTGTATTGATTCAAAACACTCGTCCGTGTTTAACCTTTTTTGATACTCGTTTGTATCTTCTTTCGATACTCGTCTGTATTGATTCAAACACTCGTCTGTGTTTAACCTTTCTTGATGCTCGTCCGCGTCACTTATCTAAACAATCGTCATTTCGTAACCCAGGTTTCCTTCTTAGAACCTGAGATCGCCTCTTGGCTAGGTTCTTCCCATAGATCATCGTCGAACCTGAGATCGCCTCTTGGCTAGGTTCTTCCCATTGATCACCGTCGAACCTGAGATTGCCTCTTGGCTAGGTTCTTCCCATAGATCACCGTAGAACCTGAGATTGCCTCTTGTCTAGGTTCTTCCCATAGATCATCGTCGAAGCTGAGATCGCCTCTTGGCTAGGTTCTTCCCATAGATCATCGTCGAACCTGAGATCGCCTCTTGGCTAGGTTCTTCCCATAGATCACCGTCGAACCTGAGATCGCCTCTTTGCTAGGTTCTTCCCATAGATCATCGTCGAACCTCAGATTTCCTCTTGGCTAGGTTCTTCCCAATACCGTCACCGTCGAACCTGAGATAGCCTCTTGGCTAGGTTCTTTCCATATATCTTGTCCTAGAACCTGAGATCGCCTTTTGGCTAGGTTCTTTCCATATATCTTGTCTTAGAACCTGATATCGCCCTTAGGCTAGGTTCTCTGTCAAATTACTCTCTTGTTTCACCTTAGGGTCATAGGTCGCCCGTAGACCTCGTCTGCTGTCTTTTCATACCAACCATTTGTCTTGTATTGGCATCACGCCAGGTTACAAGTCCAATCTCCGTCTCTTTATTGAAAAAAAAAACAAAAAAATCCTTTCTCCCAGCAGATATCACAAAAATAAATAAACACTCGGGCTTTCTCCCAGAACAAATTTTTGGCATTGGTATTTAATCATCTTCAACCTTGAACTTTCGAAAGGCACGCGCCAATCGTACTTTCAAGTTTAAGACGATTAAATAGGGGCAGTTGTAATACCCCAAATTTGTCCTACCCTCTTACTTTTACCTGGCTTACGCATCTCTCATTTTACTCATATACATAACTCTCATTAGGTCATTTAACAATGTCATTCATTCATTAATCAATAATTTGGCACGGGATTAGAGATCTTGAAGGATTAGGGTTTTACAAAGGTTAAGGCGTTCATATCCAATAAAGGTCGATTCCTTTTGCAGAGGAATTAAGGTTGTGATATGTGGTTATTGAGATTTCTTTCTCCTTAAGCTACAAAGCTATTATTTCCATATAACCAGGAGGTCGCAGGGTTTTCCTCTTTAGAGCTATGAATCTAGGGTTTATATCCTTTTTTACTCGGGTTTGTCAACTTTTTTACTGGATGTTTGATGGATAGAAAAACATGATAAAAGGAGGGTGTTGTGGATTCATTGTGATCAAGGCATTATTGTCCTCTCAATTGCTTCTTGCTTGTAGAGCAATATAATATGGATTTGAGATCGAGGTTAGGAGTTTTGATAAGAAGGCAAGTTGATTTAGGTTTTTGTTTATTAAGAATTAAAGTCAATTTTAGATTCATTGAAACTACTAATTGTGCTCAAGATTAATATTAGCTCAAGGTCTCAATTTCGTGATTTGGCAATGGTTGATTCAAGATAAAGTTAGAAGATTCATTCATGTGGTTCTCTTTGTGTACAAGTTACGAATTTGCAAAGAATTACAAGTCATAACATCATTCAAGGTTATTCGTTTAGTTTGGTTCATCAAAACTCATCAAGATCCAAGGGTTCACGTTCATTCAATGATATGATCTTTACAAGTTCTAAAACATCACGCATGATTTGTCAAAGGGTTATCCAACTTCATTCTCGTTCATTCAAGGTCATAACCATGCGATTTACAAGCTATATTATTGGAGTATTACAAGAGAAAATTACAAAGACAATAGAAAAGAACGATTCATTTACATGGAAAATCTATCCAAAACACATCCATACTGCTACAAATGTTATGAAAGATTTCAAGTTTTATGCCGTCATCAACTTCATGATATATGCCATGCTTTAATCAATCTTCAATGCTCCATAACCAACCTCCACCTTCAATCTTCTTCACGTTGCTCAAATTCTGAGATCTTCATGTACCAACATTTCATGTCCTTCATGTTTCAAACCTTCGTCATAGTCCAAATAATCAGCCCTGCATATTTCAGAAAAAATTAGAAATTAAACAAGGCATCTAGCGGAATTCAAAATTTTACAAATTCCTAATCAACTTCTCAGCAAAAATAACAGTTTTCTAACTAACTACCTAGTTCATAATTCAAAACAGAACTCTGACGAATCCCTAACCGCATCCAACTGTCATAACTAAACTAAATAATGCTAACTGTTTTTTACTTTCTTCCCTCAACCTCCAACTCAGCTCCCTAACCATAATCTCCAAATATAACCCCTAACTGCCTTAAAAAGAAATTCCAGCCAAGAGAAAAAATATATAGAATTTCTTAACTGAAATAGAATTTCACCCAACCATTTTCCAAACTCCCCTGTAAGCGAATCCCAACTTAACAAAAAACTAACCTGCATAATAAAATGCCAGTTCAGAATTTAATCGCCTATAACTAACTCACCAACTGTCAATAGATTTTGCTAATTCCCTAACCACCTAACTAATTTCTAACTAACTGTTTCATAACAACCAACCTGCAGAATTTCTAAATTCCAAAACACAATTAACAGCCCATTCATATAGCAGTTCACAAGGAAAAAACTCGGAAAAAAATCTCTAACAGAATACATAACAGAATGGCTCACCTCTTTTAGATTCATTCTTGGATCTCTGCAGAAATCCCCATCAACCTCTCACTTTACTATCCCACGCTCCAATCTTCATCATTCTTTCCCTCAAATTCTCTGTAACCTCTACCATAAACTTACCCTTACTCATCCTCCAGCTTCAACCTTCGCCATCTTTGCAACCATATCTTCATCATCCTCATCTTAAGCACACAATAACCTCCTCACTGCAACACTGCAACTTCAACATGAACAACAACATTCATCTTCCTCTCTTCAATAACATCAACACAACAATCTCTAAAATAACACAGAAGCAACACACAACCAGAAAACAAGAAGAAGAATTGGAGAACAACAATTATTCAACACAGATACACCAAAGACAAAGAAAAACTCAGAAGTTGCACGATTCATTACACAAAATCACGACGAAAACTCACCAGGAAATTCTCAAGATCCTGCTATAACTTCATCATATTTATCACTGTTTCTTCAGTTCATCGGATTCAAGACTTTCATCTTCATCGTTTTAATCTCAGATTTGTAACCGTTTCAACACAGCATACTCCTCCGGCTTCATCTTATGTAAAAGTAGGTACGGATCCTGCTTCATCAACACAATAATTTCGACACAACAACTCAAAAAGCGGATAAGGAAAACGAAAATACAGAGAAGAGGAACCTAAAAGCGAAATGTACCTCTTCTTCTCTATTGGATCGATTTTTCCCTTTTTCTTCCTGTAAAGCCGCAACAGAGATCATGAAAATGAACGGACAGAGGTGAGTTCGAATCGTAGGAGAGAAATCACAACAGAATGATAGCAAAGCAAATTGGACAGTGACGTTTGAAGCGTAAATAAAGGTTGAGCGGCGAGAGCATAGATTCTCGAAGCAATCGACATGAAGACAGAGTGATGAGGAGTGCGTGGTGCCGAAGGCCGATCAGAAGTTGTAGACGGTAGATTCGCTTGATTGTTCATGGGGATGAAGCCATATGAAGAAGGCATTAAATCGAGAACTGAAGCCAAGGTGGAGTCATTGAGAAGAGGATAAACGACACCCCTGAGACGGTGATGAGAATCAAAGAAGGTTGAGGTCCGGTCGTCTTGAGTTGAGTCGGAATATGGCGAAGGGATGAATGGAGACGGAGGATGCTACGCGTCATTGGAAAGCTTGGAGTAGAGAGGTTTTCATTTTGAAGAAGAGAAGACCAACACTGAACCCTATTCCTCTTTCAATTTTTTTAATTTTTTTAATTATTTCTTTTATTTTCTTTTTCATTTGTTTTGATAAATGATCCTAAAAAAAAGGCAGAAGGATAATTTTTGTTTGAATTGGAATAACAGGTTGTTATATCATGATGAGATCCGTTGGGCAATTGTTGCGTTCACCCCCATTGAGGCCTATTTCACCCTATTTTTGGTATTTGCTGCACATAAAAAATCTCCTGGACTAGTTAAATTTGGGCTAGTTCGTTTGCTACACTACTTATCTAATCCAGACTTCGACACCCCTCTGTTTTAGAAATTGAGATCACGACTTCGCTCTCATTGCTTGGCCCCTATAGGATAGTTTTGTTAGACTTTCTATGACATGTTAACCTAGGCAGGATCCCTTTAGGTGTGCTCTGTGTGTTGGCTTTCTTGCTTCATCCTTGTACATGCCATGTTCCCTTAGGATGATCTTACTCCATTCGGATGTGAGTTAGACCTTAGGATGTAAACCATGCATGCTAACATTAGGTAGAAGTTTCCCTTTCATTCATCCTTGACTTAGGGCTACCATTTCATGATAACATTAGGTTAGAAATAGGCTAGTCTCCCTTAGACTCTTTTCTTCCCCCTTTTGCATCCTTGCATTAAAACGAAAACTTCTTTTCTTAGCAAATCAAAAACATGCTAACAACACTTAAACCTTTTTCAAGGAAACAAAAACACAAACCAATTCAAATCATTTTGTGCGCTCGAGCACCTTTCTCTAAAACCCTTTTCAGGTAAGGACATGATTAGTTTACTTCTGTCCCAACGCATAAGTCTCCAAAGGTCAAGCTACGGCAGAAGGCGGAATTAACTTTGTCCATAAAAAACACAAACAAACAAAAACATATGATCCGAACTATGGTAGCTCTGATTACTCAAAAGGGATACGTAGGCATTGGGGTAGGGCCCAAGCGAGCACAACTTTATTTTCCCTACATTTTTTTCTCATTTCTTTTTCATGCATTCTCCTTTCAGTAGTATAGTAAACTGTAAGCATAGATTAGACACACCCATAAGATAGACAACAAGAGTGGATACCGTAGAGTACTACGGGCGTGTAGGGTGCTAATACCTTCCTCTCGCGTAACAAACTCCCTTACTCGATCTCCCGGTTGCAAGACCGTGACTTCTCCCTTCTCAGTTTTTCTCGATGTTTATCTTTCCCTACATGTAGGATAAAAGACGTTCAATGGTGACTTCATTGTTTGATGATTTTCAGTCGGTTGTTTCACCTGCATTGAACTGCTTCATGACCTCATCTTTTATCTTTTCAGACATCTCGGGATGCGTATGACGAACCTTCTAATTTATAGGAGGACAAACTTTCTTCATCGGTAGACGGTGAACCACAACGTCAATATCAAGCTCTGGTGTTGTACCCCAATTTTCCCCCTACGATTCCTTTATCATCTCATATCACCTCAATCATATCAAGATCACACTAGGGTTTGGTTTTTCTCCCTATCTTTAGGTTTGCTCATGAGGGATAACAAAGAACTTTGATTTTTATATTATGATCATATATGTTTTGTATTGATTAAGTTTTAACTAACAAATACAATAAATATTTTCTCTAAATCATGATTCTATAGGTGAGGGCACAACATATTTCATCAGATGGATTCATAGGTTCAAGAGTTTATTTCCATGCCTTCTTAAGCAAAGCTTCATTGAGATTCAAGCTTCATCATTGAGATTATTTAAAGTAACATCATGACACGATCTACTATGATTCATCATCCCTCAATTTGTAAAAGAAAGTTAAAAGATACAAGGGTTGATTGAAGAAGTTTGACCTAAATGGACAAGTTCTTGATTCCTTGATCGCAAGTGCATAACTCTCTCAATTTCTAATATTTGGAAGTGGTTATTGTGGCTATGGGTTCTAATTATTATCCACAAAAACTTCTATTCACATGGAAAAAGTTATTATGCAAAGAAGATTTTCAACATTGAAAGGGGTTTCCAAGTTATTTTGGTGCTTTAGGAGCTAGGGTTTTGAACTTCTAAGGGATATATCTTGTTCATCTTTTGAGATTTTTTAGTGATTAAAAAAATATGCTTATCTTTAAAGGGCTATCAATAAATTACTTGAAAAGTTTCAAACATTTTTTCTGTGGAAGGTTCCAAAGGATGAAGAAAGATTACAAGTCCTCTAGACAGGCCATCAAATTCCCTTATGTAACTTCAAAGGATCATAACTTGGTCAATTTTTATCTCCTTGAGCCCATTATTTTTCCACAATGATATTAAGGATGTTAACTTCAACTCTTCTTATATGTGCAAGACTTTAAAATGGTTGGAAGATGCCTCAAAAACTCAAAATATTATAGGTCACCTCATGAATTTTCACCAATTTTACAAGATCATAACTTATTCAATATTTAGAATTTTTTTAGTGATTCAAGTTTCACAATGCTCTTTGGGAAGTCCACTTCAAGCTAACATCATTGATCAAAGCAAGATTTTGGAGGAAGACCTTGTTTGGATTCAAAACATTATAGGACTTTTTTTGTGATTTTGACCATACACAACTTCTAGCTCAAGTACCCAAACGATCTCTCCCTTTGCACATTGTAAAGATTGTGACCTTATCTTTCAAATGCTTCAAGAATCTTACCCTAAGACCTCTTAAGCTGTGAACACCATAGATTCAAAGTTGGTACCTTGGAACTGAAGATTCACTTGCAGTCAGATTGCAAATTCCATAATGTGACTTCCAATCACCAAATTACCACACGGTTTTCACTTAAACATGATTAGCAAAGATGTTTGAATCATTTAGAGTGTCAAAATGCATCATTTGGATGAGTTTTGAAGCACATCTGGTCACACTTTCTTCATGATCACAGGTGTGCATGAATTCATTTGAATTTGCATGAATTCACCCATCCTCTTGATTCCATTCACTTCTCCTATAAATACATGCTCTATTCCACTCATTTTCGTAAGCTTGAACAGCCAAAATCACCCTTCCAAACTCTCTCCATAACCAACATTTCTGCAACTTTGAATTTTGTTTTACAACATTATTCAATCCATTTTCTTTGCTAATTCTTCATCCTTGAAGTTCACTGAAGCTAACAGAAGAAGAACCAAGCCTTGAAGCATCCTAAATCGTGCTAGAAAAGTCAAGTTTCAGAGCTCTAAATTTGAACTTTAATAGATAGATTCCTTCATCAATTCTATCAAAATTTTCTACTACAATGAAGCTCTCATCATTTTGATAGTCTATGCATCATTTGTTTCCAACTAGAAGTGAGTTTTGGCAATGAATTTTCAAATCCCTATTCAAATTTTTCTTCTGGTTTTTTGCAAATCAACTGAGCTACACTTTAAATAAATTTTTCGCAAGGGTACGATTGTCTTCGTCTTGATGAGACGAAGTGAATGGCATTGGTCTGATCTCCTGATTTTACAGATTAAGAGACCTACAATTCTCGTGGCTGGAGGTTGAAGATGACCAACGTGTCATCTCTCAACCAATGACAAGGCGCCACTTGTTTTTTTTTCAAAAATTTGATTTAATATTTGATCTAGTGGTTTATTCACTAATTACCATGATATGCACAGCACGCCAGATCCCTTGGATTTTATTACTAACATGTTTTGACATTGATCCAATGGTTTATATCTTTTTGGTTTTATTTTTATTTTCTGATTTTATACTTTAATTGGTTTAAATTTCAAAATTCATAAAAAATTCATTTCTGACTTCAAAAATCTGAAAAAATTCTTAAAAATATTTTGGGTTTTTATATTTCTGATTTTTATTTTTTTCATAATTTTATTTTATGATTTGATATTTTTTATAATTTTTCACTTTAATTACCTTGTTTTAATTGATTAAAAATATTTTCCTTGAATTTTAAATTCTGATAAAATTATGGAGAGGTCCTTTGGCCTTTTGGAAATTTTTGATAACCTTGTTTTATTTTCATTTATGATTTTACTATTTTTTATCATTTTTGGTTTGTTTTACTTATTTCTTTTTATTTTTCAAAATTAATTTCTGACTTTAAAATTTTTTTTGATTATTTTTGTCAATATTTATTAAATCATGTTTGGCCACTCATTATTTTTTAGGATTTTTATTTGGTATTTTTATATACTTTGAGTATTTTACCAATTATTTTCCTTTTATTAACCATTTTAATTTTGTTTTATTAAATATTATTTTATTATTTTTACTTTGGTTCTGACTTGGATTTCATTTGGTAACAAATTCCTCAACCTCATTGGATCTTGGGTGTTGATAGGTTGAGAAACCAAATCCACCAAAATGGATGAATGATATCGATGATATTTGAAACCCTAATTTCATACAATGCATCCCCTCCCTCTTCATCTTATCCCTTTCTTACTTGTACCACATGTTGTTAGAGAATGATCTACATATCATTTCTCTAAACATATGATACATAGATTGCTATTGTCTGGTCTCAAAATAGGTGCGACTTCTATATAAGTCCACTTACGATTGCTTAACATAGCGCTAAATTTTGTCCTGATTCGAGAAATGATCATTCGTGGCCCAAACCTATGTTTGCAAGCCCAATTATGTTTAATTTGAAACCTTTGATCCAATAATCTTGAGGTTCATTGTTAGGAGGCTTTGGTCTTATTAATCCTCTAATGAATCATCATAAGTTTTGGTCTAAGTGAATCATTTAAACATGGTAGACCATTTGTTGTTGCCTTGAGATATTGAAATGAATGATATACTTGACAAAAAGCAAGTGAAACTT